GATACTGAACTCAATGCCAGAATCATAAAACTAGAACAGTTAGCAAAAAAAAATGAAAGCCAATTTGCAACATTGGAGCAGAATCAAAATAATGCAGTAGATAAATTAAAAAATAGCAATAATTTTTTATTTTCTAATAGAAATAATATATCTGACCCTGTTATAAACTATTGCATTGATACTAACTTCAAATCGTTAGAGGGTAATATAGAAAATATTTTTGATATTATATCTGATGATACAGAGCATTGAGTATCTGGTTCTTCTAATATATGTCAAGAAAAGAATAACTAATCTTCTACATCTTCTTCTAATAATACTTTTGAAGATAAAGAGATTAAATTTCTAGAACAGGTATATAAAGAACAGATTAGAAATGAAATAAGAGAGAGAAACTGGAAAAAAAAGCTGTTACAAAATAATGAAACATCTACTTCTCGAGATCAAGAACTAATACAAAAGAATTTTACACCTAAAATCGATCAGAATGTTTTAAAAGAACCTATTAGTCAAACACAAAGCACTATTTCATTTGAATTAAAATTACCTATAATCAAAAGGTTGAACAAGGTTTAATATGTGAGTTGTCTACATTTTTTAATAAGACTAGCCTTTCAAATTCTATATCTGACAAACAAATTCTTGAAAATATGCTTGATGGAGATGATTTAACTCCCGGCTCTGCTTCACATTTGGCTCATTTATTTGACAAGGCTAAAAAAATGGGATAGAAAGAAATTTTACATTAGTATTATTATAGTGAAGAATTCAAAAAAAAGGTTAGAGATATTATATTAAAAAATGAACTTAAAGATCAAATGGCAAGAACACAAATTTAAAATAAAATAGAACCATTTCTTCCTGGCAGCAAGAGAGAGTATTTGTATAAGAAAACTCAAAAGCTAGAAATATTTATACATTGTTCAAAGAATAAGAATAGATAAAATAAAACAAGTTATATATAGTGCTGATGCTATTTCTAGTTTAATAGGTGTTCAAATCCAAAATATAATAAAGCTTTTCTCTGAAAAAACTGAATGTTAAAAAGTAATCAGCATGAAGAATCTTCACGCGCATGCGAGTGAACTATTTAGCTCAAATGATATATCAAATATTGAGATAAGTGTATCGCCTACTCTAAATCTCTTTCTATTAAAGAAAATACTGTCAAAAGAAATATGTAACCAAGTCATTAATAAATTAACTACACATTTTATTGATTCACCAAAGTTGGATAAAAATAATTGCATAGATACAGAAGGTGAGCATCAAACTAATTCTTATTGGGTTTTAGGTTCATATTGTCTACTATATAGAGAAAATCATATGAGTTTGCAAGATAAGTGGTGGTCAAATAATCAAGGCAATAAATTTTATTATTTATATAGTGATAATATCAAAGACCCAGAGATCTCATTCGACAAGATACTAGAAGCCTATCCCGAAAATTTCAAATTAATTCAGGAGTTAAAGACTCAATTCTTCACATTACCTATTCCTTGGAATAATGCATTTAAATTTCTAAATAAAAACATAACAATGAAGGCATGATTTTCTACAGAGTATCACAAGTCAGAAATAGAAAACATTACATCTATAGCTTACAGTACACATCGATATATATATTTTTTTAAAAATAAAAATGGTGAGGCCACAGGACCCCTCTTTATTTCATAAAAATATTGCCAGAACAACAATACAAATAAAAAAAATTTTATAATAAAAAATAAATAAAAATAATATAGGGGTTTGATTATAGATAGTCATCTGCATGACCAGGATTTATAACACTTTAGTCATCATTTTTTTTTATAATTTTCTATGGCTTCTCTCAAAATAGAGTAGAGGAGATTATTATCTGATTTAATGTAACAGAAAATTATATTTCAGAGAAATACTCAAAACTCATTCTAGAAAAATACAAACTTAATTACGCAATATGAAATTTACTTACAAGTTCTATTACTGTATTAGGTTTTCAATTAGATAACCTTGGATTAGATGTTACAAGGTTAGAGGGTGTTGAGTTAGGTGGTGCTAGGTTGGATGGTGCTGGGTTGGACGGTGCTGGGTTAGACAGTGTTGAATTAAGTAGTACTGTGTTGGACAGTGCTGGGTTAGACAGTATTAGATTGTTAGAATTATTAGTACTGCTCATTTTGCGTTCTTAAAAATAAAAAATTATAATGAATAAGGTTTCACCCTAGTAGTTATTCTAGAAAACTATTGTAGGTCAAAACCCTCTGTATAAAACAAATATATACGTTAGAAATAAATTACAAGTAAATTAAGTAAAAAAAATTATATATGAGCAAAAAATATTATAACCCACCCAACAAGAAACAAAAAATTGCTTATTTTTATACTTAGCATTTGTTAGATCTGAGAACTTGCCAGAAAAAAAAAGTTATATAATTAGTAATTGTGTTACTCTAGCACTACCAGAACACACTTAACAAAGCAATTCTGCTCGGTCATAAGTTCCAATGCTGAATCTATTTTGTTATTTTTTCTAGTAAAATTAACCTCTAGATTCAATGATCTCTCCTGCAAAGTAAAAAAGTCAATAATCTCGATGATCTGGAAATGCCAAGTTCCTGCTACATATGAATTTTGATAAAACTACTGATAAAGAATGTTATACTCATTGCTCTTATAGCCTTTTTAAACATGAAGTGTCCTGCTTCGCAGAGTCTCATTCTTATCACGGAATCGTATAAAGTAAGAAAAAGGGTCTAGGTATTATTTGTAATATTCATTAAAAATTAAACGTGAGAATTAATTTTGCAAAAGAGTGTCACAAAACCTTATATCGCTTTTGCACTTACAATATTACTATATTAATACAGCATTTTTCCAAAAGAAATAAAAAAATTCTGACCTATTGATGTAGATAAGCTTTGAATAAAAGGTGGTTTTACAGGTTTGTTAAGACATGTGATAATAAATACTTTATTTTTTCTAGCACAATATACCGGTATTGATATGTGTCTATGTAATTTATTTTAGTACAAATAGGTATCAACACGATTTAATAGCTAATAATAAAAATTATGTGGTTGTGTTAAACTAATTCGCATTTATGTTTACAGATATTTATAGGTATTTATGTATTTACACTTCTGCACTTCTGCACTTTGGTAAAAAAAATTA